GAGTAATAAATGTAGAATTTTAGGGGAAAATAACCAAGAAAATATTCACAGAATTGACTGGAGAAATACACATAGAAAGACTGAATCAGAATAAGACTGAATCAGTCACAAGACTCCAACAAGTTAGGTATCATTAGGTAAGTTCCATCTGTAATGCCAAATACAAATCAAAGATCACTTTTGCTATTTTTAAGCAGTCTTCTTTCTAAAGGCAAAGAAATATCAAATAGTTTTTTGTTAGGGTAGACCAGACCCACAAGGGAATTTTTGCTGCTGTTCCTGCTTTTGAACTGATGTCTGTGCACATTCAGATGCTAAGCTGCGTGTGTGCATAGATATTTGCTAAGACAGGGCCAGCCAGAAGTTTAGGGTAGAACCTGTGCTTCATTCAATAAACACATAGACAGAGAATGTGCAGAATGCCACTTGTTCTTCCCATTAAGCAATAAACATCTTCCCTGGCAGATCCTAAATAAACTCTGACAGAACCAATTTGCCTGATAATATTGAATTATTTGAAAAAGCCCCAGAGTGCTCCCCCCTGCAAAAGAAAAAAGAAAAGAAAAAAGGAAAAAATGAACTTGAAGCAAGTTATTGAATGGTTATAAGACATCAAGGGACTCCATTCTTCACACCTCCCCGCCCCCCTGCTCCCGAATGTCATATGACATTTTTAAGCATTTCGGTTTTTATTCTGAGTTCCAAGCACAGTATCTATCTACACTGCCAAGATTTCTGCTTCAGCTCCTGCCTCTCAGTCACACCTCCCTCTCAGTGGAGGAGGGTGACACGAGGGAAGGATGAACCGTGATCTACTCATTGACTTCTCTTTATAGAACAAGAGAAAGATTCTGTGTGTGGGGTGGGGGGAAGGACAATTAAAGGCTTTAACAAAGGTTAGGCATTCTCAAACCAAAGCTTGCATCTCCTGTATTAATATGAACAAGTATGATTAGGGATATACCCGAAAGATGAAATGGCCAAATGCTGGTTTACACAACAGATGTAATCCCAAAATTCTACATGCACTTCCCATACTTGCCAAACACATCAATTTTAATTAGGTTTTAAAAAGTGACATGTATTAGCCTTTTGCCACAGTCCTGAATTATCTACTGACTTGTCACTTTATTTTTTTTTCTTTCAGCTTTCTACATATGCAATGCACACATAGGAATCATCTGTCTTATTCAATAACCATATTAAGAATATGTAATAGAGCTGGGCACTAGTGACTTATGACCATAATCCTAGCTACTTGGTATGTAGACTGAGGTATGAAGATTGCAGTTATAAGCCAGCCCAGAAAGGAAAGTTCATGAGACTCTTATATGCAACTAGCCAGCAAAAAACCAGAAATGAAGTTGAGAAGCTATGGGTCAAGTAGTAAACCACTAGCCTTAAACAAAAAAGCTCAAGAACAATGCCTAGGCCCTGTCTTAAAGCCCCAGGACAAGCAGGTGCATGTGGACACACACACACACATGCACACACACAAATGTAAGAGGTAGTCATTGGTGAGACCTATCAACTTCTTACTATAGCATATAGCATATAGATACACTTATTCTTTTACCACAGCTAAGGAAACTGAAGTGGAAATCTCACCAGTTGGTTGCTGGAAGCATCAAAAGTGGCACTGGTTGTGCTGAAGCTTGTCTGCTCTGCAGTTGGCACACCGACACTCTGTGCAGACTGAGGGTGGAGAACTACGGAAGTTCTCCAAAAGCAGTCCCGTGCCTCATAAACTCCTAGGTCCAAATGAGAGCACCCCATTTCGTGCCTCTCATTCATTTCGTGCCCACCAACTTGATCATTAGGGTGAGGATTTTTCAAAGACCTGTGCCTTTCCACCCCCTTGTCTAATCATTTGTTCATTCTTTCATAAAACACATATTAGGAGGCAAATGGGTGTCTGTCCCTTCCCAGGGTGTAAAATGGAGTAAAATCTCTCACATTCTGGAGACATGACATAGTACCAGCTCAGCTGCTTGGAGGATCCCTTGAGCCCAAGGTTCCAAAAATCAGCTTAGGCAACAAAGTGAGATTTTTTTTTTGTCTAAAAGAAAAATGAAAGACAAAAAAAAGGATGACTTCTAGAGTATGTTTTATGGTAGAGAAATTGAAAAGTAGAGCAAGAAAAGGGAGTGAGGGATTGGATCTGAAAAAAATACACTGTGTGGGGTGGGAGCAGGGAGGGTTGGGGAGAATCAGGCTCTGGCTCCTAGAGAAATTGAGATTTGAGCAATGCCCTTAATGAAAAGTATTTCAGCCAGCAGGAGCCAAGCAAAGGCCCTACAGCAGGAGCATGCCTAGAGTGTTCTGGAAATTTTAAGGCTGAAATTGTGTCTAGAATAGAATGAAGAAAAAAAGATTAGCTAGTAAGAGGAGGTAGAGGACAGGACATTGGTTTTGGAACACCTAGGTCCTTCGATGTAGACCGGCTTGCTATTGCATTAACAAAGTGTCGACAAGGAAGTCTCAGTATATCTTGATTTGATCATACTGCTCTATGGTGGTAGGGAAAATTTGCCTTGTAGAGTAGTCCTCCAAAACTCAGTAGCATTGTCTGCTTTAAAATACTGCTTCCGCCAGGTTCATGTTCATTGAAGCCCACTCAGGAATCATTGTTTCTATACTGTTTCTACATAACACTATGGAAAGCTCCATTATTAAATTTACCTTGACCACATTGATAGATACTGCCAATATAATATTAATAGAATTTGCTCAACAAATATTAACTTAATAAAGGAATATACGAATAAGTCAATGATGAATGAGGAAAGATTGGATATTATACCAGAGATGGATACTTGCACCTGTAAATAAACTTGTGTTCTGAATGATATAACCTATACATTTACTTACTATGTTGAATTGCATATGGTTTGCTAGGTAATGAGTACATTTCTTATCCAGCATTGTTGCCCCTTCCTTTGTTTTCCCCCTATGATCATGTGTTTTTAATGGATGTATATTACCATCAAAGTGAGAGAAAATATTAGCTCTTCTTTTTCAAAGACATTCTCTGAAATTGCCTGGCTTCACCTTCAACAGTCAATAGTTGAAAAGAAGTACATAAACCTAATCTCAAAATAAAGTGTTACTTTTTGGTTGATATATTTATGCCTGTGGTATCCATAGTGATTTTGTTGTCTTGGTGCAATCTTCAACTTCAAATGTCAACTACGTACTTATTCTCTTTGTTGGACTTAATCTTCTTTATGGTGGCAATTTGTTTCCACAGCTCTCCTGTAACTAAGATTGCCTGTGGCATTTATTGCTGGCCTAGTAGATATAAATTAGAATTGCTGGGTTTGTGTTTAACCTTTTCTTTACAGAGTTTGGAATGACTTCTGTAGTGTTAAAATGCAATAGATTGATTCTAGGATGTGGCTATGCAACTTTTGCTAAAGTACTTTTTAGTCTTCTCTATATGTATCCAATAAAGTAGTTTGTAAGACATGAGGTAGCTCAGAGGAAGAGCCACTGGGGTAACATATGTTTATGTTCTGGTCATCTTTTGCTTAGTAAATGAAAAAATAATTTAAATCCTACACAAGCAAATACATTCATGCTCCCATGAGATGGCAAAGCATCAATAAAGAATAATTACCCTCTTCAGAAGAAAATTAGATAACATTTATTTTAATTATCCTATCAGTTTAAATCCATTTCCAGTTATTTTTAACAATTAGTATAGTTAATTTAACAAATTTATTGCACTGCTAATATAGTTCCAAAAGTGGTACTTTGTAATTTTTGTGTTATCATTTTTCCATTAATCATTTATGCTCTCTGAAGACCATATAAGCCTATACAATATTAATTCAACTAAAGTATAATGAAAAAGAGTTCATGTTTGTTGAAATGTTATTCATTATTAGGTATCAAATTTTTGTGACAACTTTAAAAGTTGATGAGATGTGCTGTAGACTGTTTCAACATTTAGAATGATTTGGTATTTTTCCATTCTTTATATTAAAAACGTTAAAAAAAATTGCTAAATGTTAAAAAAAATAATGTTACCTATCTCTTCTTTAAATTGGATGCATAGTTGGTTCTGTTGTATTGCTTTGTGTGTCTATGGATATGTTCATGTGTGTTTGTGTGTGTGTGTGTGTGTGTGTGTGTGTGTGTGTGTGTACGTGTGCACACACCAGTATTTGAGCTTGAATTCAAGGCTTTTTCACCCATGGCTCGTGCTCTACCCCTTGAGCCATACATCCAGTTCTGCTTTTTGCTGGTTAAGTCTCACAGTCTTTTCTAGCTGAGGAGACTTAAACCATGATCCTCAGATCTTAGCCTCCTGATTATAGCCATGAGCTCCCTGTGCCCAGCTGATTCTTGCTTTTGCCACCAGTCTTACCATCAGTTAATAACAATAAGTGCTTGAAACATGGCAAGGTGACCAGAGAAGAAAACATTAAAGACAAATATCTGGCTTCTTTTCCTTATCTTTCTCTGAAATTATGACATAAATATCCAATATATCCTCATGGCTCTTGTCTCAGAATTTTTGTGATTTCCTAACTACGGTATTTTTCATCTTGCAGTGTCAAGTATCCAGGTCTGTGTTCAAGTGATTGAGAAATTTCTGCTAGCTATGCTAGAATAATAGCAACCATAGACTCAGCAAGAGCAGTACTGTGCCTGTGATTTTTGGACTCCCCTAGGATCCCTTTGTACTCTTACCCTGATCCCTGTTATGGCCATTCATCCATCATAAACCAATTGGTTGAAGAAGAGCAATAGCCAGGTGCATGATCTTGAAATAAAATGAAACTAAAATTCACACAGGTTTGGCCAAAAAAAAGAAAAATTGTCTTATTAACAAACAACAAGCCTTCAAATACTGGAAAAACAAAATAGACTGAAATAGAATCATTAATGTCATCTATTACTATTATAAAATATTTAGTGATCCTTTACTTTGCATAAACTGTTGAAATGTGTCTCATTTCATTCATTGACCATTTTCTGTTCCTTTCCCACAGGCTTAGGCTTCAGTATTGCAGGAGGCGTGGGGAACCAGCACATTCCTGGCGACAATAGTATTTATGTAACAAAAATTATAGATGGTGGAGCTGCACAAAAGGATGGGAGGTTACAAGTAGGAGACAGACTTCTGATGGTGAGTTTTTCTCCAGTACACACGCAACTCTCTGTGTATGTGTGTGTGGATAGAGTTCTTATTTTCTACTATGTGGCCATCTTAATCGGCCCCCACTGCTACCACAAAATACCATATACTGGGTAGCTTACACAACTGAAGTTCATTTTTTCACCATTCTGAAGGCTAAGAAGGCAAAGGTTGCAATCTATTATATTTATGATGATGAGTCTCCTGGTTTAAGAAAGACCATCTTCTGGCCTTTCCAGTGTACTTGTGTTGACAGAGCAGGATCTCTCTCTTTCTGTTCCTGTAAGTCCAGTGGTCCCATAGGAGTGGAGTGTCACCTGTAACATTTAACTTCCAATGTCTCCTAAAGAGCCTGTTCCAAATATCATCACACTGAGGATAGGGGGAGGGGCTGATATGGCATTCAAAGGGGCACATCCATCCATAGAAGTCACCATATGTGGAAATAGGAAGAGACAAAAGATTTCAAGGGAAGAGATCTCAAAAAAATGTCTGGATTTGTTGATATTTTCAAAATGGAAATCTATACTATCACCAGGTTTCCTAGATGCACATCACATGGAAATGAGAGATTATCCTTCTAATCAAAACCATCTCCTCTCAGTGAGAGCAACTACTATTTCTAGACTGCTGTAGTTTAACATGGCAAAAGGAACATTCTAGGATTTATTGATTATGTGTATCCATGGTCAGTCTACATAGACACAGACCCTGACTTCCTAAATTCTGTGCAAAGAGATCCCTTTTTTCTACTCTTTCCTCAGACAGGGTCAAAGCTGTTCACTGGCTTCCATGGACTTCAGGGGCTTGGGCAATGGCTGATATGAACACCCAGGCCTTCTGACTAAGTCATGGATAAACTAAAGTAAAATTAAAGCAATCGAAAATATGAAAATATTTTGAAACTACATTGATAAAATTACTTTATTTCCATGATTTATGATATGCTGAATTTACAGAGTAATAATCATATGTAGAAAATTCACAAGAGATAGATCAATAAACAGAGCTATATTTGTATCATTAAGGAATAATTATGCCATTGGAAGAAGTATTTGGGAGGATTGAGCTATACAGAAAAGCAATTTCTGGGATATTTTCAAGTTTCAGAAGTTGAACCCCAGAGGTTTATATTTATTATGTCTAGCTATGATATTTCTCTAAATTCTAGAAAGCTTGTCTGTAATACTAGTAGTCTAATTTCATAATTATTAATGATCTTGGTATTATCTAAAGACTTATAATCTTGATAACTAAAATTTATTTAGTATTTACTCTGTCCCACATACAGTTTGAAATGCTTTTTGTAATATAACATGTATTTCCTACAATAGCGTATTTCATACAAGAAAAATGAAATAGAGACTTGCTAACTTGCTCATGGTTGCTGGGTTAATAAATAGAAAGAATTGGATTTCCAATCAAGGCTATTGGCTTCCATCCATTCTTGATTTTTTTTTTTAATGCCAGTACTGGGTGCTGGCCCTTGGTGGTTTTGCTCAAGGCTAGCTCTCTACGACTTGGGCCACAACTCCATTTCTGGCTTTTTAGTGGTTGATTGGAAACAAGAATCTCAGGGACTTTTCTGCCGTGGTTATCTTTGAACCTTGATCTCCAGATTGCAACCACCTCGGTAGATAGGATTACAGACATGAGCCACTGACACTTGGCTTGCTTGTTTTCTTGAATTAACCAGTTCTTTCTTTTGTTCACTATTCAGTTACTTATCAATTACATTAACTAGTATGCAAATATCTACCAGTTATATCTCAGATGATAGTGATTATTCAGAAAGAAATTCTGCCATGAAACAATTCTGGTAAAAAAAATAGCAATAATGACCAGTTAACATGAAAAAATAAAGTTGAAACTTAGATTTCTTTATCACTTGAAGTCATTGCCATTTCTTATAATGGGGAAATTCTGAAATTTTGTTTTGTTCTCTTGATGTAAAATTCAGTTCTTATGGTATTATATGAAAAATTGCTATTGGGGTGGGAGACCTGAATAACTTCTTTCAAAAATATAAACTTTGTTGCCTGAAATGTTGAGTGAGGAATGAAATAAACTGTGGTAACCATCTACATTGTGCCACATTGAAAAATGAGGAAGAAAATTTTATTTTCAAGTAATAATTGCATTGTATAGCAATTGGTGCCACCTTGCACACATTCTTCTGTAAGTGGTTGTAGACAACAGATCTGGCTTTTTTTTTTCAGCTGCTGCTATTATTAAATCATGCTAAATGTTTGTGCTGATTTCTTGAAGTTGTTTAAATTGTTGTTTTATTTTCAAATTCTTTATTTAAAAAAATCCATACAAATAGTTCTTCCAAAGACTTTTTCAGGCACCATGCTACTTTTCCATTATAATTTGCTTCATATTCATTCTAGATGTAATTATTTCAAAAATAGATGTGACATAACTCTTAACTGTTGTGAGTTTTAAGGCATAGGTTTTTTTAAGAACCTTTCAAAATAATAGTTCTCTTCTTGCTTATATAAGAAAAACATAATTAGTATTTCCAAGGCAACTAGCAAGCTGAATCTGGAAATGAAAGAAAATATTCACTTTGTGATATTCTGAAAGAAAAATGTTCTTGACAGTGAATAAAACTACAGACAGAAATCAGTGAAGCTACCCAAATGGACCAATTATCTTGCTTCAACCCAAAAATATTTGTTTGTGCTCCCTGGCCAGTTTTAACACCCCCTTTTCTCTTTACTACCCTATATTCATAACTTCTCTTTCTTCCTCCTCCAAAGGAAGTACCAAAATGATTTAGTCTGTGATTTACCAGCTGTACTACATTGGGAATATTCTTCCCTAAATATGCTATTCTTTCTCAAGCAATTTGCAACACTTCCTTCTCTCACTTCTTAGAAAAAAAATTTCCCCAGGATATCATTCACCCTGAGTTCTATAAGTACACTGGACTAAAAAGAGATTGCATTTATTTCCTTAGGTTTTTGTGCCTGGTACCCATAATTCAGGAAGTCTCCTAACATTTCCCCTGCAGGAAGCTTTTTTGGAGCTTTAGGAAGACACTTTTAGTTTCTCAAATAAAATACCAATCATGTGAGGTATTACCTGATATTAGGTATGTTTTTTTTTCAAAGAATTTTCATTTATCTGTATTTGTTTTTCTTATGGTGCTGGAGATCAAACCCAAAGCCTCATACATGTGAGGCAAGCACTTTACTATTGAGCTACATTCCAAGCCTTTAAGAACTCCTTATATCTTAAAATTGAAAAGTTTCTGTCTTACATGTTATCTTATTTCAATCCGCGTTTTTAGACCAATTTCTAGAAGTCTTAAGTTAGGTTCAGCCACTCATCCCCCACTCCTCCCATATGCCAAATAAAGGGATATGGCAGTCCTGTGATACATAAAGAGAGTACTTCAGTATTTCAAGGGTACCGACATTGACTTCAGATTAAATACAGAGAATTGGAGAAAAGGAATGAGAAAGGTATAGAGTTCGAATAACCTCAAGTTCAAAGGTATGGCCTGGTTGACTAGAGCTCAATCTTTGTACTAAGGAAGAGTTCTGGAGAAGGTATAATCACTTTATTACTAGAACAGAACTGAATAAGGTGGTCTGTTTTTGACTGCTTGTTGCAAGATAAGAAGAAGGAATTGCCTGTTTTGAGAGAGTTTGCTTCCATTCAAGATGCTTCTCACTCAGTCTTCCCTTTTCTCCTACAAAGGGATAATTGTAAAGAGACTGCAAAAGAGAATACCTCAGGTGAAAGCGCACCAATACAAAGTTAAGAACTTTTAGTTAATTTGTAAGACCCAGCAAAACCATCAGTTAAATTGCCACTTACATTTATATGGTGCATCAGAATCCTGCCAAAAAGCTACCATGTGAAGTAGTCCCTTGCTTCTGACAGGACTCCTCTAACAATAGAGAACTTAATACGTCCCCCAATGTTAACCATATGACCAGCAGGGCTATTTTTCCCTTAAAATGATGTTAGAGAGCCAAGTGCTTGTGGCTTATAACTATAATCCTAGCTACTTAGGAGGCTAAGATCTGAGAATTGCCATTCAAAGCCATCCCAGACAGGAAAGTCAATGAGATTCTTATCACCAATAAATTACCACAGAAAGATGGAAGTGGGGCTGTAGTTAAAGTGGTAGAGTGCTAGCCTTGGGCATAAAAGCTCATGGACATCATCCAGGCCCTGAGTTCAAGCCCCAGCACCTGAACAGCAAGAACAAAATAATGTTAGAACGTATTTTCTTGTAAATTTCTCTCTTTATTCACAATTCTGCCCCTTGCAAGAAGAAAAATAAGATTAACTCCTATTCCACACATGTTTCAAAGGGTTTTGCATTGCCACTTTTCCCCTTCTTGGATTTTTAGAATGTTTTACACATTTTCCATTACTTCTGCAGTAAGTTGTATCACATATTCATTTATTTGTTCTAAGTAGATTATACTTAAAACTTCTGTGATTCCTAATAACCTTGTTCCTACTTTTAAAAACTCCAGGAAATTTTGTGACGTCTGACCTTTGCATTATTCTGCTAGCAGAGAAATTAATCCTATCTGTATCTTCCTCAATAAGCCTCTTAGTGTTTCAATAAGATGACAACTGTCAGATCACTCTGATGTTCAATGGGTCACCAAATATATGCTATATATATCTTTAGCAGAATAATATTCCTTCAGAATTTCCCCTGACAATGTGATACTAGAATTTTGTTCAGTATTAAGGAGTGACAGGAACATTTGATTCCTTTGTACTCTACTAGTAGCTAGACTGAATGGATTATCGATCATCTGGAATTTCATGGGACACATGGTCAAAAGTTAACAGCATTGAAAAATTTCAAATTCTAACATATCTTTTCACAGACTAGTTTTTCTTCTTCCCTGATAAGGTGATACACAGAGCCAAATATATTATAGAAATATGATCTTTTCCACCTTTTATGAATAATACCAGAAACTTTGACTCCACGATCATCTTTCTTCTCT